AAAGGGGTTTCAGAGAAGGGGACCCTCCAAGGCTCACTAACCAAGGCAAGTGGGGGACTCCGGGCAGGAAACTGGCCGCGCGGACCCACAACGGTGGGCACGTTTCAGTCGGCGTCTCGGGTGGGGTCTGCACTCTGGTGAGTGAAGGCAGGAACAGGGAAAGCCAGAGGATGACGCCACCACGACCCAGGGAAAGGTCCTGGGGACCTTTCTGCCCTTCTCCTCTGGGGAGATGTCCGGCGAGGGCACCGGGGCACAGGCAGTCAACTCCTCTCTCTGGCTTGGTGTTGGAATGGGCGCAACCTCATCCCCAGGTTTCAGGCACCTCTCAAACCCACGGCAAACAATGACGCCCAGTTCCCACTGGAACAGGTGGCAGCTGGCTGCCAAAGAAAGCCATTCCATGTCTGTCTCTGGGGAAGAAAGGGCCCTCAAACGTGGGGCAGTGGCTTTGATCGCACCGCTTCCCTTCTTCGGGCCCCCCAGGGGTGCCGAGGTGTCTCAGGGGAACACCACCCCCCTGCTACCTGTCTCTAGGCTGGTGGGTTAGCTAAGCCCCCCCCCACCACGTGCCTCCTAAATGCCTGTGTCTTTAGCCACACCGCCCCCCACACTGGCGAGCCTGCTCATGAGCGAAGAAGCAGAGGCCTGGCTTCCCCCAGGGGATGCGTGAGTGCTACCAGCCGGCTCTCAGAGACGCTGCCCGCCTCGCCCCGCTCCCCGCCTCGCCGCCTCTCTGCTCTGGATGGAAACTTCAGCTGGGCCAAAGGGAAGGGCGGAGGCTGCCAGCTGCTTTTATGAATCTACCTGGCGGCCGTCCTGACTTAATTTAAGACCAATGGAAACCAACCCACTTTTTTTTTTTTTCAGAGACAGGGTAGTGACTTCCCAAAAAACAAAACTCCGTCCGAGCTGAAGGCGCCCCGGCTCCCTGGAATGCCCGGCAGCACTGCTTGCATGGGCCGGGGACGGAGTGCACGTGGCCTTTGCCAAAATGAGGACCTCGCTCACCTCTGTCTGTCTGTGGTAGATGAGACACAGACAGAACGGGGTCACACTTAGGGTCTGGAAGCTCCAGGGGTCCTGAGGCCCTTGATGTGGGTGCAGACACTCTCCTCACCGAGCAGAGGCAGACACAGACCCCCATACGACAGGGCGGGCCGTGCTAAGTGGGCAGAGGAACTACACCCCGGGCAAGGACGTGCGTAGGAGGGAGGAAAGGGGCACATTCTGACTGAGGAGAAGCAGAGGCAAGTTAGGGGAAGTTTCTAAGAACTCATGCTGTTTAAGATCGCTTACAGGATAAGGCACAGTTGGGTGAAGAAAGAGAGGAGGGGACGTGGGGGTAGCCAGGGGCCACCGGCCGGGGGCAGGCACTTCCTGGGCAGAGGGACAGCGCCACAGCCAGGGAGGCCGGCCGGGCGGGCGGGCTGGGGCGGCCCTGCCGTGTGCCTTGGGCGCTGGCCTGCCTGAGGAGGCCGGCCGAGGCGGTGCGGTGACCGGCGAGTGGGTTGGGGGAGGTGACTCGGGACACTCCTATAAGAGCCTGTGGGAACGGTAGTTACCCAGGTGAATACCTATCAAAAGTCCCGAGCTGTACTTAAGATTTGTGTGTTTTACTGTATATAAGTGACAGCTCAAAAAAATGGACACGCATTACATTTTTTATTCAGAAAAAAAATGGAGACTTGTATTGTCACCTGCTGTCTCGTAATTCCGAACTGAGCTTTTAGCCTGCGAGTTTCACTGAAAGCAAACGCTTCTTGAGAACCGGGAAAAAAAAAAAAAAAAGAATCACTAGGTAAATATTGACTTGTTGCTAAGTGAACAAGAAACGTATCACCGCCATCTAAGCAGAGTCTTCCTCAAGACATTAGAAAGGTTCATTTCTAATAATACACGGTCGGGGAAAGGACCTTAAAACAGATTTTAAAAAGGACTTCAGTGCTGAAAGGGAAGAACTCCCTATTCTCCTGACGTCAGGGCTCACCTTTCATCCAGGCTCTCTGTCTCCCGGAACAGCAGGAGGCAGTGTTCCCACCCCTACTGACAGGCTGCCCCGGGGCAAGGGCGAGGGCGAGGCCGGCTGGAAACCACTCGGCTGCACTGGCTGGCCCGGACGGACGGTGGCTGGCCTGGCGAAGGCTGCAGATGGGCTTCCTCTGGGAAAAAAGTCTTCAAAGTCCCAGAAGAAACACTTTCGCCCTGACAGACAAGTTTCCTGACCGCGGGAGGCTGCGACAGAAGTGCGAGCGCGCTGAGGACAGTGGCTTCCCACAGAGGGGGTGCAACAGAGCAGGGCCACGCCGGACCTGGAAGGCTCCTAGGGGCAGGCCGCCTCGCCTCTCGGCAGGGGGGGCCCTCGCAGCCCTGGGCCTCGCCTCCCCCACCTGGGCCTCCCCCACCTGGGCCGTGGGGACAGTCTCTGCCCACCTCCCCGTCCGTGAGACGGGACCTGGTCTGCAGTCAGGAACTGGGTTCGCGTTCCCTCCCCGCTCCTCTCGGTTTCCCCGTCCTTCGAGTTGGAAGGAAAGTGAATCCAGCTTCGGAGTTGTTGAGAGGGAGAAAAGGCCCAATGCCTACGAGGGGTACTTAGCAAACATAAAATGCAGCATTACGGACCCCCGGGGGACGTGAAGACATCTCGGGGAGGCGCTGCCTGGGTGCAGGACACAGGCATCCCTGCAATTAGCACCGAAATAAAAAATGAGAGGCCAGCAAACAGGTGGAGGGAAAGGTGCGTCCTTCTGCCCTTTAAGCCGGGGTCACGTCCAAGCCAGAGAGCCCGGGTGCTGGGGTTCAGCCTCCGAAGCCTCGTTCCAGGCACCCTGACTCCAGGCACCCTGACTCCAGGCACCCTGACTCCAGGCACTCTGGCGGGGCTGCTGCTGCCCGCCGAAGGGCAGAGCTCGGGAGACCATCGTTTCGGGGAGCTCGCCCCTTCGTACCACCTTCAGACCACAGCTACGCAGCTGCACTGACCCCCACGCCGCATGCCTCTGTCACTTGGGTCTCTCCAGGAGGGAGCAAGCGGGTAATGACAGGGGTGGGGGCGTGCGGGGGGCGACAGGGCAGTGAGGTCCGAGGAGACTCTGTGATGCACTCCCTGCCAGCGGAGGGCAGGGCTGCCCCCGCAGAGGCCAGCACCCTAAGCTCAGGGGGAAAGTGTGCCAGGGAAAAAGCAAAGGGAAGCCCTTAAACTTACTGTCTGTAGGTTATTTATTTTTTTAGAAAAACAAGACAAAAAATAAAACAAAACAAAAAACAACCTGCCCTAATCAGCTTTTCCTTTCCCCTTTGAACTAGGAGCACAGAATCAAAGCTACGGAAAGCCACTGCAGGACTTCCTCTAACTGCTCGGGAACCAGTTCAGCGTGGGAACTGGCACTCATCTCGGTGTAAACTTACAGGCTTTTAACACCTTGCTTTCCAAAAGCTCCAAAGCGGAGATGGCTGAGGAGGTGGGTCCCACTGCAGGGCCCCACTCAGCCTGAAGGCAGGGGCAATGTTACTTGCCAGTCCAGATTGGAGAATTATCTACATTCCTTTTTTTTGTTGTCCAATCTTCACTGTACTTTTTCCCATTACCATGTAGTCCCCCTGTGCTTCCCTCCCCCAGAACCTGCAGTTCAGTCGTAATTCCAGATTGGTCCTGGGAGGAGGTTAGCGTGGCTGCCACTTACTCCCCCCCCCCCCCCCGTCCCCAGGACCTCCAACCGCACTGTACACCGTGCATTCGCTCTACCGTAAATACTGAAAACACACGCTGGACAGCTGGAAAAGCACGCAGCTCCTGTGCACCCCCCTCTCCGGGAGGAGACGTTTCCCACGGACACGCCGCTGGGAGAACAACGTGTCCTTGACCGACACCTGGCGTGGAGCCCCTGGGACCGAGACTCCCCAGCAGGGACAGTTCCCAGGTCGCCATGGTGACATTGTACCGTGCATGGCACTCCACGACCCAGTTTCACGTCTCCCCACAGTAACTTCTGGGCCGGAGCACTACCGCTACAACCTGAGGAAACCGCACCCAAACCTACCAACCCCCAAAGCCCACAGCGGCTCCGCATCCTCGGCCAACAGCATGAGAACATGAATCGGTCACAGGAGACGAGCGAGAACCCAAGCCCTGAGGTGTGTCTGTCGCACCGCCCCCAGCAGGGGAGGGGATAGATGGTCGTACCCGCGGGGTGTCGGAAACCCCGCTGAGCGGGGGTCACGACAGCTCCCCGAGCGGCTCCCAGCCGAGAAGGCGCCCCTGGCAGAAGAGAATGAGCTTGAAGGGGCGCGGAGGGAAGCAGCAAGGAGCAGCAAGGAGCAGCAAGGAGGAAGGGAGTCGGACCCGGGAGGACCCGGGAGGCTTCACGCCCGAGGCCCGGCCCCAGCCCTGAAGGAAGGCTCCGTCGCCCTCTGATGACGGCTAACTGCGCGTCCCTCCAACGGCCAGTGTGACATAAAACGCACCTTTCACGAGCACGGTGTCCTTGCTCGGAGGCAGCGCTCGCCCAAGACGCCCACCTGGCCTGGGGCGGGCGCTCGCTCACCTGGAGCGAAGGCATTCTGCTGGAGCGGGCTCTTGGCTCGTGCCGCTCGTTTTCCAGTGAGAGAGGGGGCAAACAGCACCTGGCTCGTACGTCTGTGTGTTTTTGCTTATTGATTATTTTGGGTAGGGATGGTTTTCCTGCCCCAGCAACAGGGTTGGAAACAGAGCCTTTGATCAAGGCCTAGAATGTCCAAGTTTTTTGCATCTACCTAAAAACGGCAAGCGTGTTCTGCGAGGCCCGTGTCCCGAATGACGGCGCCAGGCAACCAAGATCGGACTCTGTCTCCTGCCCTCCGGGATTCAAACGCAGACTTCCGCGGAGACTGGGGCTCGTTTAACGTACAGCACGGTGTCAGTCAGTACAGCGACCTTGACAACACAGCATGAGAAGGTTCTCTGAACACCGCAAAGCCAAACGGCTCGGCAGGCGGGCACACGGCGGGCAGGGTCTACTCACTCTTTGGTCAGGAGAGGACAGGACTTGAGCAGAAAGCGCGAGAGCCCCGAGTCCTGGAAGTAGAGGTCAGGCGGGGCGGTGGGGCTCTTCAGGTTCAAACAGCGGACGATCACGTACAGCACGGCGGCCACCGCGGCCAGCTTCACCCCGTCGAACACGGCCGGCAGCTCGGGCGTCTCCAGCATGGCGTTCATCTTGGCCTGGGGAGCGGAGCACAGGGCTGGCTTCAGAGCTCCGCCAGCAGGGGCGGGGCCCACGCTCTATGAGACAAAGGCAGCGATAACCTGCCCTACCCAGATGTGTCCCCGGGGCCCACCCAGGGAGACTGCCATCAGGGCTTTACAGCCACCGAGGGACTGGCAACAACCCAAATACAAACGGTCCCGGACACTGATAAGCTGGGTAGGGTGCTGTTGCTTTATTTAAATCTAATGAAGGGTAAGGCGGGTGGCAGCTGGGCGAGGCGAGCCGTGTCTCTGCTCCCCACTGCGAAGGAGCTGTGGGCGCGTGGGTGCCCTGCGCGGTGCTCCGCCTACAGCCGTGTCAGCGTGCTGTGATGCCGTCTCGCAGCAGCCTGCTGCTGGCGCCCCCAGTAGCAGAGTGAGAGCTCAAGGCTCCCCAGCATGGGGGACGGCTACGGCCGCCTTCAGCTGAAGGAACGCCCCCTAGGAGCCCACAGACGGGCCTTGCGCTTGCTCTGTGCGCTTGCTTCTGGTGTCCTTCTCACCATCACAGCTCCCGCCGGCTGGCAGGCCCTGTCAGCAAAGGGGCGCACACCGGGCCAGGCCTGTCCCGGCCATCGCCATGCCGGTGTTCCTGCCAGGATTTACCACCTGCGAACAGGACCCTTCGGAGGGCGGGAGAGAGCGTCTGGGCAGCGAGGACGAGCGGGGCCGAGGGCCACCGTGTGATGCTGACAGGCAGCCCGGGGCCTCTCTGCGGGCTGAGCCCACACCAGGTGCAGCAGGTGTCTATGAAGGTCCCTGGGCACAGCCTGGGACACGGACGTGAAGTGGGACGGCCATGGCCCCCAGGTGCGGCTGTACTGACTGCTGGCGCCACCCCTCCACTTTTAGAGCAGGATGAGACAAAGCCACTGGGGCCCGACTCGGCCATCTGGTCCTCAGGGCACGGGTGTCAAGTTCAGACCCAGCCCAGATCCCAGGGACCCCTGCTCCTCGCTCCTCGGGGTTCGGGGAGTGTGGAACGGAGCTCGGCCCACTTCCCCCCAACTAGTCCAAAAACAGGCTAAAAGTGGACCACAGAGCAAGGAACTTGTACGCGCATATCTGGCTTTTCCCACGCTCTCCTAGTATTTTATCTTCTGAGGTAGCTCTACCTCATACACCAGACACACACGCGCGCACCCACACCTCCCAACACATAAAACCAAACAACAACACAACAAAAGCAACAAAAAATCCTTGCTGCTCAGCAGAAAAACAGAACCTCAGCTGTCACCTTAAAAATTAGGGAAACCACAAGCTAACAAAAAAGGAGAAAATGGGAACTCTCACAGCCAAGGTAGCTATGGCAACAGCTTCCCCGGGAATCGCTTCAAGTAGCCTCTGCTAAAAACAGTCAGCCCGAGAACTTGGCGGCCAACAGCGCAGACAGAACAGGCAGGACAAAACACTCTCCCTACAGACAGGACTGGGGCGCGACAAAGAACTCTCTGAGACCCAGGGCGGGGTCACAGGAGACGCAGAAACCCCTGTCTACCGTCCGGGGGGCTTTGGCAAACACGGGACCTAACCACACTGCAGCTGACCTCTGGCCGGGACCCCGACTCAGTGGGGAAGGCGACCAAAGGCCCGCTGCTCCCTAAGTCGCCTTCTGTCACCAGGGCAAGGAAATGATTTTGTAAATTAACTTGACACAATTTCGTATCCAGGTTATACATTCAGCTGCAACCACCTTTGAACTTTTAAGAACTGACAGTTCCCTTAAAACTCAACCCTCTGGGGACATGTTCCCCTAAAGACTAGCTATGTATAAATCACTGAAACAAGGATTCTTAACTTGGGATCTGTGGGTCCCCTAAAGCAGGGGTCCCCAACCCCTGGGCCGTGGACCACTACCGGGCTGCAGAGGAGGTGAGCTTGAATGCAATGCACTTGAATCATCCTGAAACCACCCTCCCATCCAGGTCTATGGAAAAACTGTCTTCTACCAAACCAGTCCCTGGTGCCAAACAGGTCGGGGACCGCTGCTCTAATGGATTCTACAGCCCAGCAACCCCGTGGGAGTTTGTGTAACGCACACTTTTCTGACAGGGAGGGTCTGCAGAGCTAATCGGTCCTCCGAGGGGTCTGCGGCCCAGAACGCCCACAGCACCACATTCAAAGACGCTCCACGGGTTCAACCTGTGGTGCTGGCCGGCCCCTCACAGGAGCCCCACCACCTGGGCCAGTCCAGCCAACGAGAAACACACGTCCACGATGACACCGCTCATACCACGGAACTTTCAGCGTGAGCTCTGGCAGGAGCTCCACATTCTGGTGACGTGGCCCTGGTGATGCGGAGGAACCCGGACGGGTGCTCTTTCTGGCCCCTGCGCCGGGAAGAGAACCCAGGAAAGCAGCAGGCGGCTCCGCCATGTCCCTGTTGGCCTAGAGCAGACTTCCCCAGTAAAAATAAAGTAATAAAGCAGGTCCCCCCTCCCCGCCGCCACTCACTACTGATTAACATGAGGGAGGCAGGAGAAGTCAAGATACGGGCCTGGACAGTACCCACCTGTGTCCTTTGTTCCTGTCTACGGGAAATAGGAACTGTCCTGGAAGTGTTGTGCAGCTGGGCCGGTCAGCTCAGATCTCTCCTTCAGGTTTACCTAAAAGCTGAAAAGATGGGTGACAAGAAGGAAGCAATTTAATGGAAGTACAAGCAGGCTTATGTTCTCTGCATTTCAGGTCTGCAGGGGAAAGATGACTTCTGTAATTAACCTGTGTGCCACGCTGCCGGCCGTCTGCGCAAACCTGCGGGGGACCCTTCATCAGCCCACAGACGAGCAGGCCCCCCCTGGCCTCCAGGACAGGCTGTCTGCGGCCTCAGAACTCTGGCCAAAGCACATGCACCCTGCTTCCACCCTCTATCGCAGAACGGGATCTTCAGGAACGCCCGACAGGTATCTCTGCGTTACCAGCGATAGGGCCTAATGAGGCTTTAGGTCAAGACAGCAGTTGGGTGACTCATTCTTTCTCTCCCCAACACACAGCAGTGACGGAGAAATGAAAGGGCACGGACAGGCTCAAAGCGTGGCGCTGGGAGCAGAACGGGGCCTCGAGGACGGGCGGGGAGCCGCACAGCCTGCCGGCTGGGTCCCAGCCCGGGCGGGCAGCTGGCTGCGGAGAGGTGCCCGGAGCCACAAGTGCTCCTGTGAGGCGGGGAGCCAGCGCGAGCCCGCCGTGCCGAAGGTCCACGGCTCCCAAACCAGCGGAGGCAGCAAACAAGAGAATGTTAACTATCCGTGTGCCAGGCTCTGCTCCCCGTCCTTTGGGTACACTCATGCATTGAACCCTTGCTCACCCTATGAGGTAGCTGCCATCATTATCTGCATTTCACAGGCAAGGAAACCGAGGCAGAGAAAACGTGCATGAGGTGGCAAGGTCACACAGAAAGAAGCCAGGCAGAGAAGCCAGGGTTCACGTCCGGCCCCAGAGACCCTTGTCTTAGCCAACACGCTATGCCATCCGAAAGGGGGAAGAGCAGAGAGGGAGAGGCAGAGGAGCAAGCAAGAAAGAAAACGGGTGGTGGTGCAGGAAAGCCAGAGGAGACGCCAGGGGCTTGCCCTAAATCACCAAGCCTCGCTGTGGTCAGGCCAGGGCCCCAGCCCCGCAGGCTCTGGTTCCACCACCCAACCAACATGATTCTTTACACAGAGAACGAAAGCCAGCTGCAGGGGAGGCCCAACCTTTGTCATAGGCTTGCTCAACTTGAACTTTTCATTATTTCTTTGTATTCTGAACAAATTAGTCCCAGGGGACGAGGCTTTTGTTGAGGTGGAGGCCAAAGAGCAAAGTCTGCAGCCACATCAGGAGCCACTGGGCCTCCCTGGGGCTCCACTGCCAGCTGGGAAACAAAGATGGATCCTAAAGCAGGAGCCCACGGATGGCGTTGCAGTTGGCTGGTATTTAAAAATTTAAATCTATTAGCTACCAAGTTATAAATGCCAGGAGATTTCAGATAAAAATCTGGATTCCTGGTTTCTCTAAAAAAGCAACAACAACAAAAAAAAAGCCAGAACAAATGTCGCTGAACGGCAGCCATGCCCTGCAGACAGAGCATGCTCTATCCGGGAGGCCGCAGGCCCTGCCACGCTCTGCAGTGGTCCTCACCACCACTGACCCCTGGCCTCCTTAACCTCCTAGGCATCTGGATGCTTCCTGCAGGTGTTGGAACGTGCCACTGTGGGAGAATCTGCCTCAGGTCCCTTCCAACCCTGGGTAAGTCAGCACTGACTTAATACTCAAGACACACGCTCTCTGTGTACGTGACTACATGATCAAGTCACAGAACAGGATTGTGGAAAGGCAGGGTCACAAATGATGTGGCACATTTTACTCATTGGTATTTACACTGCTTGTTTACAACTTAACTCATTCCACGAACGGCTTGCGACCGCTACAACAAACATGGCAGATACGCAATACACACATTGGGGGGAAGATTAGGAAATGTGGCAGAGTCTGCTGAGTGCTTCCCCAAACAAAGTCTCTCCTCCTTCCTTGTAATGAAAAGCTGGAACATGTGCCTTGTTGGGGGAAAAAAAAATGAAAAAACAAAAAACCCTCCTCTGCAGATCAGTGGGTCCTGAGTCCATGGGACTAAACTCTGACCGTTCCTCGAGGGGCTGGTCCACCTTCTGGGGAGACTCCTTGAAGGCAGGGCGTTAGCTCTCCTGCCCTCTCCCTGCCCGTATCCCTGGGATGCAGGCAGCACGGCTGCCCCTCCGCAGTCACCCTGGGCCATGCAGTGACTTTGAGGTCACTCCCAGAGCCACAGGACGAGGACAGCAGAGTAGAAAGCCAGAAGCCTGGGGTCCCTGATGATGTCCTGGAGCCACCGTATCGGACCTAGACCGCCTAACCTCAGGGTTTCTTTCACGTGAGAGAAGAAACCCTGGCAGGTTTAAGCCACTGCTATTTCTAGACTCCTTTGGTCTGCAGTTTCTAATGACACAGAAGGAAACACTATATACCTGAATCTTTGTGGATGCTACAATTGCTGCGTGATTAGATTATAGGCAATTTTTCTTTTCTAAAACTATGACTACAAATACTTTTGTTATTAGAAAGAAGCTTTAAAATAGCAACCAGCAAATCTAAAAAATTAAGAACCTCTGAACACGGAGAACACCTGTCAGCATACACAGTTACCTACATCACTAAGGCTGGAAGGGACTGGAGGCTGTGAATGCCAGGGGAAGGGGGGGACCCAGTTAGACCCACGATTCCCCAAAGCGGAAGGAGAGCTAACATGCACGGCAGAGCGCGCTGAGATGCAATAAGGCGTCCGGGAAATGTCAGGCTCTTAACGCTCTGGAGCCCCTGGCTCGGCGGGCTCCCCTGAAAGCTGGAACGCACCCAAAGACACACGCCATGCCCCCAGGAAGGAGGGTGATGAACGTACAGAGTGCGACAACTGCCTGATGTTATCTGTTGACCGAGGAGTGCACTGGTTTCACTACTAACCTTCTGTAGAAAAGACACCCTGTCCTGGGAGGGGTTCTTCACAGCCCCCCGGCCGCCTGAGAGTGGCCGCCTTGCTGTTGATGGAAGTTTGCCCTATTAAAGCGCTTACGAATTTGAATACTGCTGTATGTCGACTCTCCAGAATTGGTCCCGATTTTAGTTTGGGGCTTTCTCCCAACACAGGCGTGGTGTGCTTGCCCCAGAGGCAGGGCAGGCACTCACTCGGGGAAAGCAGGGTTCTCAGCCACGGGGTTGCAAAGGAGCTCTGTGGGGCTTTATGTGAGGGGCCCTTGAGCGACGTGACAGGCAGCATCCTCCTACAGCTCTCTTTAACAGCAAATGCAGCAGAGAATTCATGTGCTCAACCCTTGACAGTGGCAAGGGTTTAAAACTGAATTCAGTTCAGAGAAGGCAGCCCTGTGAGAAGTCTGTAATTATTACGGTCCGATACCCAGCCCTGGCCCAGAGCTTGAGCCTGCGGTCCCGGGAAGCAGGGCAGTTCGACCCCATGTCACTAGGGCCAGCCCCCTCCCCTTGATCTTCAGTGGGCTTAAGGAACTGATGACCTACTGTGTGCCTACCACTAAACTAAGCATTGTATGGGACTGCAATTAAGTAGAATTCTCATTTTAACTGGGGAGAAGTTTCTGTTAAGGCTATGTATGTATGAAACTTAGGGACACAAATAATTGGTCCACGAAGTAATTAATGACAGGACTTACGGAGCAGCAAGACCTGAAACTGGGCCTTAGGGTTTAGAAGTGCATGTGAGAGAATGAACATGTGTGTGAGATATACGTGTGTGTGTGTGTGTGTGTGTGTGTGTGAAGCCAATAATTACCTGGCAATTTTAGAACAGAACTCTTGAAGTTAACTTTATCTTGCTGCATTTTATTTTATGTGTGCTTTCTTTCCAAGTTCAGCCTGCCACTACCTACTAACATTCTGAATTTGCTCCCAACATAACAAACTCAGTTTCCGTTGCACTGTTCTGTTTGTCCCTCTCTTCCAGGCAGGTGAAGTCCAGTGAAAATGAACATCAGGCAGCCGAGACAGGGAAGTCACCCAGCATAGCCGGAGAGCTGGGCGTGCGGGCGAGGGGCAGAAGCGTCTCCCCAACCCCCACCCCCTGCGCCTGCCTCAGACCGCAGCCCCACACCTCCCCTGCTGCCCTCCGTCATTTTATGAGTGGGGTTTAGGTGCTGTAATCACAGGTAAAATTCTGTCTGTAGTCTCTGCGTGAACAAAGAAACCTGCGGTGCTGCCCAACACCCAACAGAGAAGGAGCCTTCAGTGTCGCCCTCGGCCTCCAAGACGTGCTGGACCGGCACATCCCCCAGCGCGAGGCCTGGGCTTCTGCAGGCCAAGGGCGTCGCTTCAAGCTGGAGGCACGGACACAGGGAGAGACAGGCCCTGTGCTGGGACGGGCTCTCGTCTAGGCGTCCTCAGACCTGGGTCTCAGGGCCAGCTCTGCCCCTTCCTAGCTGGTGACCTTGCGCGAGTCACTTAACCTTTCTGGGCCCTGAAGACCTCATCTGTAAAACGAGAAGGTTAGATTAGGAGTAGATGATACCAAAGGTCTCTTTCGGCTCAAAACGTCTGAGATTCCAGGGATAGAATTGCAGAACCTGGCTGAGGCGCCCAGGGAAGACTCCCAGCTCTGTGACAGCGGACAGCGGACTCCCGGCCTACTTCGGGGACCGGGGGACGGCGCCGTTCACGAGAGCTACAACCCCCGGGGCCCTTGTTCTTCCCTCAGGTAGGGTGGACCGTGATATATCCTCAGCTGGGCCACTGATGCCAATAAGCCCATCACGTTCATTCCACCCCCACAGGCGAGTGATGGCTGCAGCCTTGGAACAGTGATGTCCCCTGACAACCCAGAACGCACTGTGAAGAGAGAAGGATCTGAGAAGAGACCTCAAACACAGATAACTCACCACCTCATGCAGTGGGGTGAGCACACTCCCCCTAAAATTCATGTGTGCGTGGAACCTGCAAACATGACCTTATGTGGAAAGAGTGTCACTGAAGATGCGCTCAAGGTTAGGTGGGGTCAGGCTGGTTACAGTGGCTCTAACCCCATGACTGGTGTCCTTACGGGGACAGGGAAATTGGGTGCCCACAGAGACTCGCGCGGGGGAGGA